GATTACCTGAACAATAGGAGAGTTATTTACATCATTCTTGTACTCTCCCTAAGATATGGAAGTAAAGATTAATGATTTCAAACACGATAGTAAACTTTATGCTGATCACGAGAAAAAATTCTTCGAAATAACATCGTATACTTTAGAATACTCAAAGAACATCTTACAAGTAAAAATAAACCTGGAAGAAAATTGAATATATGAAAATACAATATATATCACAAACGTATGGTAAATTCTACTTAAATTATCTAAACGTCCCGCTTTTACAACCTGTAAGAGAGAGAGAGAGAGAGAGAGAGAGAGAGAGAGAGAGAGAGAGAGAGAGAGAGAGAGAGAGAGAGAGAGAGAGAGAGAGAGAGAGAGAGAGAGAGAGAGAGAGAGAGAGAGAGAGAGAGGGGGAGAGGGGAGAGAGAGAGAGGGGGGGGGGAGAGAGAGAGAGAGAGAGAGAGAGAGAAGAGAGAGAAGAGAGAGAGAGAATTTGGGGACCGGAAACATTTTCTGTCTACGCCGCGTGACAGTGTTGTCACTTCAGCAGCGCTAGGTTACGCAGGAGGAGGGGGGGGGGGTATGTAGGAGGCAGAAGGGGAGGGGGAGGGGGTTGACGAAGGTTAAAGGGGAGAAGGTGAGGAAGAGTAAAGGGAAGGAGGGAGAAAGTGAGTGGAGGAGAGGGTTGAGAGTGTGGAAGGGGAGGGAGTAGAGGGGAATGAAGAGAGAAACAAAAACATACGCACATAGTATCCATCCATCCATTAATACGTGTATACTATACATACATTCAAATACTGTAAGCAGTAGATAAGCTTCAGTCCCACCAAAGAAAGTGAAAAAGCAATTTTATATAATGGACATGCTGTTCACTAAATTAATCCAAACACACAAAAAGCCAAGGTCGGATCGTAGCAAGTGGCTGATTGTTTGTTTGTCAAGGTCATGGTTTGTCATGGTTGGCAGTTTCCCATTTTCTTTGGTCTGGACCCATTTTCTACTTCCGCGTTTTCTTTTATCGGAACCCATTTTCTACCAGCGTGTTTTCTTTATTACTTTTGTACGTATAGCATCAATTAGATTTATTTTAAGAACGATGGTGATATTGATCGTTCATTTACATCAGCAGCGGTATTATAATTTTGAGAATAGCGACGACATAATTCACTTTTTCCAATATTTTTTCGCTGAATAAGAATACTTTGATGATAATGTCACGCCACAATTGCCACAGCTTCAGTACGTCCATTCTTAAGAAAAGAAAAACTGGCAACTCGCCCCGAAATCTCGAGTACTCTGATTCACCGAATCCATACCTACTTCTAATAATACTAATACTTAAATGTGTTTTTGTATTAAACACACACACACACACACACACACACACACACACACACACACACACACACACAACACACATATATATATATATATATATAATATATATATATATATATATATATATATATATATATATATATATATATTATATATATATATATATATATATAACGTTTTTATTGTTTGTACTTCAGCAACCCGTAAGTATTCTTAATTAACGGAGATTTAGCAGATAGGAGTATTCCAACGTCAGGGTGAGTTACCAATTCCCTCAAAAATTGGACAGAAAATAGTAATCCTGCATGACGCTCAATCTTGCAATGAAGAGGTATTGAGGGCCCTATGAATGGGAAGGGAACAGGGATAAGATTAGAAGGATACAGTGTGAAATTCAGGCTAAATAAGTATCATTTAAGCTTTGGGTGTGGGAGTAAACAGAAATGGAGCCGCCATTGATGAAGATTTTACAAACGCTCCAGTAAACATGTGCATATCCTGAAGTTAACTGGGGAAGAGGAAGGTTTCAGTGTCCGGTCACCATAGTTTTAAGTTAATTCGGACCTCAACTCGATCATAGCTTCCCTCTCTTCCCCCTGCAAATGTAGCAAAACGGTCGTTCATGTAAAAGAAATTGTTTTGTTGTGGTCGAGGCAGATTTTAGTAACAATGGCCGACGCTGTCTCCTGTTTTTTGCTCGAATCGAAAAGGTTAACCATCTTTTCATGAGGTTGGTGGATGTATGATCGATGGGGTGAATGGTGTTATATATGGTGTTTTTTATGGGAATGTGTTGTGGCTTTTGGCAAGCACTGTCATGGTGACAAAGATGAAAGCAGTATATAATGACAAAAGTTTTGATGACGTTAAAGATCATTTTAATAACAATAAGAGTAGTAATGATTGATAATGACATGAATAATGATGATAATGACACTAGTAATAATGGTTACAAGGTAAATCATAGAGATATGAACGAGATTTATAAAGAATGACTATAATGATTCAACGTTATGAAGTTGTCATCGATTGTTGATATGATGTTAATAGTGATGAAATGATAGTAGGAGCAGCAGTAATAATGACGGTAATAATGATAATATTATATGTTAAAAATTACAATGCAATGGGTGCAAAAGGTTGAAATAGTTTTACTTATTATCCAAGGATAACCTTAGGATCGGAATTTAGTTGTGTTGATGGAAATAGTTATTTTCGTAAATCACAGAAAGATTACTAGGAAGGCTAATACATGCCCGGAATCGAAAAGGTCTGATATTGACCAGAAAAATCGATTCCAAAAACTTAACAACTTGGGTCCCTATGCATGTGGAAATTCATTTTAGGGAGCAGTTACCTCCCCCTCTGCCAGCAAGCTACTGATAGGCAACAACAAAAAATAATCATGATAATGAAAATAATGGCAATAACAACAATGCAGAGGTAATTTGTCTATTTAACAGTAAACTCCATCAGATCTACCATCTGTTTATTACATATGATCATCTTCAGAATCTGCAGTGCGAATAACAAACAATTTTATACGCACCGCAGATATTTGCTTTTTGCTAGGCTTTTATTTTATTATTTTTTAAAGGCGAGTATTGCTTGTATATAATTGTTTTTTATGTAATTATATTTACCTCTTTTATTTATACTTAAGACATTAGTTTTGATTTTTGGGGGAAGGAGAGAGAGAGAGAGAGAGAGAGAGAGAGAGAGAGAGAGAGAGAGAGAGAGAGAGAGAGAGAGAGAGAGAGAGAGAGAGAGAGAGAGAGAGAGAGAGAGAAGAGAGAGAGAGAGAGCATAGACTAAATCCACTCATTTCTATCTCTTCAAATATCTATTCAAAATACTCGAATGTTTTTTTTTCCATATCTTTCTGTTCTAATCACTGGTTAACCTCAAACATATGGCAATGATATAAGTGACGTCATTTTCGCTGCCCGATGTACGATGCGGTGAGCAATGAGAGTGATTGCAGTTATTAAGCCTAATGAGGGTGATTGCACTGCCGCAGTTTTTGGGTTGAATTGGGATGATTTGGAAGAGAAATTCCACGTAGATTGGAAGACTGATTTTACTTTCCTTTGCTTGTCTGTCTGTTTACAGTATTTGTCTTTTACTGTTTCTTTCTCTCTCACTCTCTCCGATTATCTATGTATACACACATACATACACACGCACGCACGCACGCACGCACGCACACACGCACACACGCACACACACACACACACACACACACACACACACACACACACACACACACACACACACACACACACACGCATACATATATTTATGTGTGTGTGTGTGTAAATGACGATATATAATCTTCAGCCTGCATTTTCTCTTTCTTTCCTTTATTGCTCAATTTCATGTACGTGCATTATTGACTACATTATTGGCAGCGAATGGCCTGCAAATGCCAAGGCTTTTCGACTGTTTATTGATAAATATTGATCTATTCACAGGGACTGGGATGACCAGGTGGCCGCGCACTGAAGGGGGAGGGTATTTTGTCCTATTGAATCTTACGCGAAGCTTCTCTAAATCACGACCCGTATCGACTCGAGGTTCGTGATAATTCCTGGTTGTGAATAAAAGAAATGTAGGACGTGGCGCCGTGAATTTCTTTCTTTCATAATCTCTGATCGAAGTCTGATTTTTTCTTTCTTTCTTTCTTTGGCTAGCACTTATTGATGTTTTTATTCAAATTAGAGGATCCGAAACTAAGGGAATCTTTTCCGGTGGCAATCAGGGAGACGCGGCGACACCGGCTGTTCTGTCGGAGGCGAGACAGGCTTTCGCCCATTTCTGTGACGTAATGGGAATGATCGCGGTTGACGGCTTGCTATTTTACTGTACTGGTTATTTTTCCGACAGGTACACAGTATTTTGGAATATGATATCCAAGATGGCTTTTGATATCTTATGGTGGGTAGTGCGGTGTTATAGATACCCAATATAAGTACGAATATGTATCACGAGATCACGAGACAGCTTTTGGTGTCGCGTCGTGTCGCGAGACACCCTAATTGCCACCGGAAAAGATGCCTTTAGTTTGTGCAATGTGGGTTTTTCTAACCTTAATCTCATTTTTGTTTTTCTTCATATATATCCCCATTACTATTGCAAAATTCAGTGACGTTAATGAATTTGATGCTACGTATCGTCACTCAATGCATGTTATCAAAAAATTAAAAACAAAACAGATATACTAGTCGAAATAACAGAGATACGCACATAGTCGTTTTAAACGTGTACGTAATAAAAAAAAAAATGTAGGCCCTAATGTTTATCTCTCTGCCCCCCCCCCCCCCCCGACCCATTTTACCCATTTCACTTCCGGAAACGCCAAGGCATAAACAAGAAGAAGAAAA